TGACGGGGCCAGCGCGGGGTGACGGGGCCAGCGTGGCGTGACGGGGCCACCGCGGAGGGACGGGGCCGGCGCGGCGTGACGGGGCCAGCGCGGCATGACGGGGCCAGCGCGGAGTGACGGGGCCAGCGAGGAGGGACGGGGCCGGCGCGGAGTGACGGGGCCGGCGCAGCGTGACGGGGCCGGCGCAGCGTGACGGGGCCGGCGCAGCGTGATGGGGCCGGCGCGGCGTGACGGGGCCAGCGCGGAGTGACGGGGCCAGCGCAGCATGACGGGGCTAGCACGGCGTGACGGGGGGGGGGAGTATGCTGCGGAAGCATGAGGAGAAGGCCTGAGCGAAAGGGGCCTGCTCTTATACCATGTTAAATCAAGGTCGCAAGGAGTAGGAGGAAGCCATGGAATGGCGTGAGGTTTAGGAAGGTGAAAGTTGAGGAGAGAAAAGGGGGGAGAGGAGAGTCTAGGAAGAGAGAGGCATACAAGGAGGGAGTTGTACTCTCTACACTAGAGTTAGATAAACCTCTCAAAACTGAATAATGGTTAGAATAGGAGAGTACAAGGTAATATAAGCTAGGGATTTGTACCCTCTAAGGCACAAACCTATATAGTCTACAGTAACATACAAGGCAAGGACACAAGGAACAAGAGGACGAGCGGCGCGAAGGTAGTTCGACAGAGGGGGGGGCTCAACAACAAGGGAGGACGGAGGAGGCGACGGTAGGAGGGTAGGACGAGATGCGTGGGAACGAAGCAACATAGGGTGAGAGCGCGGGATAGGGGAGACGGGGCGAGCACGGGAGGGACGGCGAGACCAGACGTGAGACGGAGGAGTCGGGTCAGGAGACAGAGGAGGGGACACAGGAGGGGAACGAGGGGGAAGACGAGCCCGAGTCGAGTCCGGGGGAGGGAACACAGGGCCGTAGACAGGGAGAGGAGGAGACGACAGGCGAGGCGCAGACCGAGGGTCAGGGGACGGAAGACCGAGCAGGCGAAGGGCTGACATCGGCGGTGACTGCTGCTGCGGCGGCACGGCACCGACTCCGGGACCGCAAGCTGCTCCACGGCTACCTCCGGAACACTCCACTCCAGCACCCCCAGAAGGAACACCCCCAGAGCCCGAAACCCCTCGAGCACCGGTACCACCCCCAGGCCCGCCGCGACAAGCCACGACAGGAACCCCAAGACGAGTACCCACCCCAACGCCAGCACCCCCAGAGTCAACGAACTGCCGCTGCGACGGCTGCAACGGCGGCGGCTGCAACGACGGCTGCGGCGGTGACGGCGGCTGCGACAGACAGGCGACGGAGGAGGGGACACCTGGGGAGGGGCAGGCGGCGAGGACTGCGTCGTAGGACCACCAGAGTCAGCAGACTCCTCGACCGCGACAACCGACGTGAGGGGGGTGACATGGGACACACCAGACGGGGCAGGACGGGGAGGGGGAGGGGGAGGGGCAGGGGCCACCGGGGAAGGGGTGACCAGGAATAGGGGGGGAGTAACCGGGGGACCTTGGTGGGGGAAGCGGCGGTAGAAGGAGACGGACTCGTCAAAGGTGACGTCGTGGAGTGACAAAACCGGTGAGACTGCGGGTGGTAGAAGTGCCAGTCGGACAAGTCAAGGGGGAAACCGAGGAAGACACAGGGAGGGTGCGGGCAGTGAGCTTGTCCGTGCTAGAGGCACGAACATGAGCAAGGCAGCCCCAGACGTGGAACGCAGACGCGTCACCAGGAGACCTGGACCAAAGAAGGGTCGGTGAAACATGCGGCTGCTGGGGGTGCGGCCACAGGTTAAGCTGGTGAGCGGCGTAGCGAACGGCGAACGGCCACAGAAAATGGGGTGCACCGGAGTGTCGGGTGAGTGAGCGACCGACAGGAGCAGGCAGCAGCAACCTGGATAGACGCAGCCACCTGAGGGGACGTCCCAACCGGGGGGGTCGTGGTGTCCAGTGTGAACAGTCCGGACATCGGGTTCCGGGGGAACGTGGTGAGGGGAGCACCAGCGGCGGCCTCGGTACAAACAGCGTACCGCTCGTGACCAGGGAACGTAGTGGTGACGCCAAGGTCCTTGAGGCAGCCAACACCAACTAGGTTCCTCGAGAACAAGGGGATGTGCAGGCTTGTAAGAGATCCCGAAGGAGCCGCCGGACAGGGAAGGGTGGTGGATCTTCGGGCGACTACCGGGCCTGAGGAGGGGTCAGCAAGAGAAACTGCAGCAGGAGCAGGAAGCAACGTCAGCGTAGTGGAGTCACGAAAGAAACACCGAGAATCGCCAGAGTTCAAGGTGAAGGAGAGCGCGGCAGTGGCGTCTGGAGTCGGAGCAGCGACGGAAGAACCAAGGCTAAACAAAGCAGGGGATCCTACGCTTGACGCAGCAAGGGAGGCACGACTTGACTACACTAGGCAATAAGGGGTAGTAAGAAGCAGTCACACTAGAGTCATCAGCATACATCACATGCAGGGCAGCAACAATCTCATCCATATCCATATCAAAGATCTGAACGCTACGTCGAAGCAAGCTGTGCGAGTCGGGGAGGTCGGGCGACGTGCCGAAGCGCTGACGAAACAGGTCGTCCAGGCGACGGAAACAGCGGACGGAGGTGCGACCGATCTTACCGCAAACGAAGCCACGGCGAGGGCCGCTCTGGAGCTGGTACCGACAGCGCCCGCCACCCGAACCGCCACCCGACAGCCCACCACGCGCACGACCACCACGTCCAGCGCCACCACCAGCGCCAGGCCACCCGGGGGGGAGACCACCCGCCCGCCTCTGCTGCTGCGGCTGCTGCGAGGGCTGCTGCTGCGGCTGGTGCGTGTCCGGCTGCGACGCCTGCGGCTACTGAGACAGTTGCTCGGCTGTACCTGTCAAAGTCCCCTCGTCAGCGCTACCACTAGGCGACCCGACTCCACCACCACCTCCACCTGCACCGTCACCCCCACCGCCGCGCCCAGCCTTGGGGCAGCGGCCCTTCCCGGAACGGATCTACGCTGCAGCTGCAGACTCAGCCACAGCAGCAGAACCGTCGGAGAAGGTGCACTGAGCGGGGGCACAACCCTGAAAGATAGGGACCAGCACAGTACCGCTGGTCTGGGCGATAGAGCGCTGGCGGTTCTCTATGGCAGACAGGGTGTCGACAAAGTCAATGAGGGTGAGGTCACCAGGGTGGATGCTAAGGAAGCGCTCGTGGGCAGTAGCAAGACGGTCAGGGAGGCGGGTGGCAAGAAGGTAGAGGGTAGAGTAGAGGGGCAGCTGAAAGGCTCTAAGCTGGGTCTCAGTGCAGGCAGCGCGCCAGGTCGCGTCTATCGTGCGGAAGTGAGCAGCGAGGTCAACGACAGTAGGGAAAGACGCAAGGTCAGGGAAGAGCATCGGTAGGATCAGGCGACCGACAGAGGCAGCAGGCGGGATGGAATAGTGCTTGACCATGGCATCGAGAAATTTCTGCGCAGTCGTGACTGGCCTAAAGCGGGGGCGCTCAGACAGGGGGAGGGCATGACTGATCGCAAGCTGCGCGACAGCGTTACGCGACAGCCAGACAGAGCGGGCAAGGGCAGCAGCTGCAGCGGACTCACGGTCAGCGGACGAGGGGTCAACGGGCAGGGGAGCAGGGGGGTCAGAGCAGGGGAGCGTACCGTCAAGGTGGACCGCCAGGGAGTGGCCGATCTGCTGCTGACCAGTGAGATGACGACGGAGGTCGACCAGCCACGTGTCAAACTCGAGCGGATGACCCTCTGCATCAGGAGCGATGCAGCAACGGTGCAGTGCTGTGCAGTGCGGTGCGGAGCAGTGCTGTGCGGTGCAGAGCGGTGCAGTGTGGTGCAGAGCGGTGCTGAGCGGTGGAGTACGGTGCAGTGCGGTGCTGTCCGGTGCAGTGCGATGCTGTGCGGTGCAGTGCGATGCTGTGCGGTGCAGTGCGATGCTGGAGGCCGGCGGCGGGCCGGCTGACGAGGAACGGACGCGGGGCCGACAACGAGCGGGCGCAGGGCCGATCAGGAACGGGCGCATGTGCCAGCGAGGAACGGGTCGAGGGGCCGGCTAGGAACGGGCGCGGAGCCGACTAGGGCGGGCGCGAAGGCTGGCTAGGAAAGGGCGCTGAGGCCAGCGAGGAACGGGCGCTAGGGCGGCTAGGAACGGGCGCGCTGGGGCCAGCTGGAACGGGCGCGCGGGTCCAGCGAGGAGCGGGCGCGAGGGGCCGGCTAGAGCGGTCACGAGGGCTGGCTGGAACGGGCGCTAGGGTGCGAGGGGTCAGCTAGGACGGGCGCTGGGGGCCGGCGGAAACGTGCGCGAGTGCTGGCTGAAACGGGCGCTAGGGGGCGAGGGGCCGGCTAGAACGGGCGCTAGGGGCCGGCTGGGACGGGTGCGCGGGCCGGCTAGGAACGGGCGCTAGGGGCCGGCTGGGACGGGCGCGCGGGCCGGCTAGAACGGGCGCTATGGGGGGGGCGGCTGGGACGGGCGCGCGGGCCGGCTAGGAACGGGCGCGAGGGGCTGGCTGAGACGGGCGCGAGGGGCTGGCTGAGAGGGGCGCGCGGGCCGGCTAGGAACGGGCGCTAGGGGGCCGGCTGGGACGGACGCGCGGGCCGGCTAGGAACAGGCGCGAGGGGCCGACTGAACGGGCGCGAGGGCCGGCTAGGACGGGCGCGAGGGGGGGCCGGCAGGAACGGGCGCTAAGGGCCGGCTGGAACGGGCGCACGGGCCGGCAGGAACGGGCGCTAGGGGCTGGGGGGGAACGGGCGCGCGGCTAGCTAGGAACAGCGCGACTAGGGGGAATGGGTGGCTAGGACCTAGAGCGGAAGCGCGAGCGGGCAGCGGGACCTACCTACTGTTGACACCATCTCAAAACTGAATAATGGCTAGGAATAGGAGAGTACAAGGTAATATAAGCTAGGGAGTAAGGCACAAACCTGTATATTCTACAGTAACACACTAAGATAAGTTTGACAAAACCTACCAAGCCTACCAATTATATAACAAAACATATAATTTAACAGCGGCAAGGCGCTGGCAGCAAGCGGGCATCGGCGTGCTGCTGGCAGCGAGCTGGCTGTAGGCTGACTGCAGCAAGGCACAGGCAGCAAGCTGGCGGCAAGATGTCGCGGCTGCGAGGCGACGAGTAGCGGGCAGCGCGGAGACGAAACACCTGAAATGCTGGTCTCTTCGTCATCATTTCCAACATTTTTTTGCCTGCATTTTCCTAGAAACCCAAGGTATTTTGTCTGGGAGAATACGGTAGAAATCCTCATAACAACCTGCTCCCACAAGGGAAGCCACCCGTAACACGAATGCACTCTGATGCGAAGGGCATGCAATGTGGGCAACCAGTCACAGCAGAGAAGAATACGAACTGGAGAACCGGAATGTCTGCAAGGATGGCGGGCTATCTCGATGCGTCACTGTCATTGGCAGGCGGGTGTTGCAGCCGTTCACTTGGCAGCTCCATGGTCCCCAGTGCCCGTGCCCTGGCAGCGGGTGTTGGTCAGCGGCGCATGCGCGCTCGCAGGCGGCGCAGCTGGCGGGCGGAGAGGCGTGGGTTGAGGCGCATGGCAGTGGGGGACGGCAGAGGGCGCGGGCGCAGCAGCTCGTCCAGAAGCCGCTCCGCCGCCACCTCCGTGGCCGCCTGGGGTGCGCAGGGGCAACGCGGGACACATTTTGAAACTTGGTCACAAGTGCACTAGGCTGTTAACGTTGCATGGAGAATGCACGTGAAGTACTTTGTCAGGTAGAATTTGCGAGACAACTCAAAACTCGCAGGCAACAGCCTCCCATGCCCTTTAGGCAATGTACCGGATATCTGAAGGGGAAGCGGAGGGTCTTGAGTTCGAGCCCCATGCGCACCCTCACATCTATGCCCAGGTGGTCAATGCCCACCAGCCACACCTCCTGAGCCACCACCCACCACAAGGAAAGAGGGCAGACAGGGAGAGGAGGGGAAGGGGGAAGAGGGGAGGGAACACAAGGGAGCAAGGAACTTGAATATGGCAAGCAATGCAACAAACTGGGCCTTGAGTCCTTCTCCAGAGACCTCACCCGTCGTTTGCCCCCCCTTGTGCCCCAGCCGCGGGTGTACCTCGGCGTGTATGCCATGCTCGCGCGCGCACAGCTCTCGCATGCAGCGCTGCGCACGCTGGAGCGCGTTGGCGCGCTGCACAATGCTGTCCGCCACGTGCGCCAGCAGGTCCGGCGCCGCCTCCTGCCAGCGCTGTGGCGCCACCTCCTCCTGCCACCGCCACACAGGGGGGGGGAAGCGGGCGGGGACACAGAGAGCAAGTGAGAACGGCAGGGGGAGACGAAAGAGAAGCACACCCCCGGCAAGGGACAGAAAGGGGGAGCAAGAACGTTGTGTGGTGGTGGCGACCTGGCAGCCGGAGGAGGCGAGCAGGTGTATGTGCACGAGGTCCAGCTTGTACAGCACCGTGCCCACCCCTCCCTCCCAACCCTCTTCGCCCTCACTCCCCTCCTCCTCCTCATCCTCCTCCTGATCCTCCTGCTCCTCATTCGCCTTGTGCGCCCCCTCTGCTGCACTGAATAATCCCACTCCTCCTGCCCCTTGTACCTTGCCCTCTCGCCCCTCGCCCTGCCCATTCGCCTCATCCTCGCCCTCCGCGTCTTCACCCCCCCGCTCCCCCGCCATGCCCCCAGCAGCGCGAGCAGCAGGACCCAGCAAGTCATGGGGCTCAGCCTGCCACCACTCGCCACCTGCCCCTCCACTCTGCGCATCCTTCCCCGGACCAACTGCACTCAGCCACGTGGCGCCGGGGGGAAGCTCCAAAATCCCACTGCCCGCACTCCCCAGCGCACTCGCCCCGTCCGCGCTGCTGCTGCTCGCCCCTTGCGCGCTCCCATTGCCATCCTCCCCCTCGTGTCGTTCTGCCATGTCGCCCCCAGCGCCCTTGGCATCGCTCTGTGTGCCGCCCCCTCCACCATCCCTGCTGCTGCTACTGCCACACTCGCTGCTGTCGCCCTCACCCACCCTCCACTCGGCCCCCCACGACACCTCGTGCGCCGCGTCAGCGTGCCCCTTCCCGCCCCCATGGCGCGCGGGGAAGGCGGAGTCCTGCAGGAAGGCGCGCTCCAGCCCCTCAACGCGGTACCCCACCACGCCCGCCACCGTCTCCTCCTCCCGCCCTGCCCCTCCGCCCCCTGCCCCCTCTCGCCTCGCGCCTGTCGCGTCCACCGCTGCGCTGCCCGCGTCTCTGCCACTCTCGCTCGCCCCACCCGCCGGTGCTGCTCGTTGCTCGCCCCTGACCTTTGGGGCTTCCGGCTTCCGAACCCTCACATCGCCCTCGCGCCTGCCCGCGCTGCCGCTGCTGCTGGCCCTGGCATCGGCGCCTGCTCCATGCTCCTCACCCGTCGCTCCCTCCTCCTCCTCCTGCACCTCGTCGCCACTCCCCCCCTCCCCTGCACACAGCGCCACGTCGTCTGCTGCACGGGCTGCTTCACCCACCCCAGCGGCAGCCGTGGTGCTTCTCCTGCCGCGGAAATCGCCCTCGCCTCCCTGCACCAGCCCCGCCTCAC